GCCTTTGCAGCGCCCCCAGCTCATTTCAATGTCGTTAAAATTGCCTTCGTCTTGCAGATGGGCAGGGCTGGATGCGTTTGCCCTGGCTGGGAGATGATGGGTCAGGCAACCTCTGGTTCCTCTGTCCCCTTGGTCTGTGTTGTGGTGCTGCTGGGTTTTCTGGAGGACCTTTTCCCTCCCCTTGCAAGACCCAAGGTATCCCAAAAGTTTTATAGCAATTCCCCTGGGGCCGTGCATGCTGGGAGGATGCGCTTGTGGGAGGGAGATGAGCTAAATTCCCTGGATGAGCTAAATTCCCTCAGTGTAAGAGCATCTTCAGCACATTTAGAACAGCCTCATGGCAAAGGGGTCGGGGATGTCATCCCTCTTGGAGGGGCTTTTTTCTGCGCAAGGAGTACTTAGGGTTTATGCCTAACCCCAGCGAAGGGTGTGAGGTTTAGGGGTGGATACAGGCATTGCTACCTGCTGCTCCTGGGAGTCTTGATGGGGTTGTCTAAGTAAGTTGGATGTTGGGTTTCTTCACTGGAGGAGACCAGGCTACAGCAGTAGAGATGAGATGGGGAATGTGGCCGTTTATTTTAAGTCTAATGTCTTGTGTAGGTGATACAGGCATCTCTTCCCAGCTTAAACCAAGGTGCAGAAGGCATCAGCCAAGCCTGTATTAATGCCCTTTTCCTTTGTGTCTCCCTGTTCAGACTAAAGGACCTCGAGGTGGCCAAGCTGGGGGACTCCGATGTCCACGTCAAGATGTTGGCAGCCCCCATCAATCCCGCCGACATCAATATGATCCAAGGTAACGTGCCGGCTGCATCTTTTTTTGCATATTGATTCTTGCGCGATGCTCCCAGCAGGGTGTCTCGGAGGGTTTGGAGCCAGCTGCTGGGATGGGGAGGGCTGGACAGGCTGGAGAGCTGGGCAAGGAGGAACTTGATGAAGTTCAACAAGAGCAAGTGTCGAGTGCTGCACCTGGGGAGGTCCCGCCGACATCAATATGATCCAAGGTAACGTGCCGGCTGCATCTTTTTTTGCATATTGATTCTTGCGCGATGCTCCCAGCAGGGTGTCTCGGAGGGGTTGGAGGCAGCTGCTGGGATGGGGAGGGCTGGGGTATGACAGACTCCACAGCTCACCTCCAGCTTCCCGGCAGGGACCTACGCCGTTCTCTCCCCGCTGCCAGCTGTGGGAGGGAATGAAGGTGTCGGGGAAGTGCTGGAGGTCGGGCGTCGTGTGGCGACTCTGAAACCCGGGGACTGGGTCGTCCCAGCAGGCCCTGGACTTGGTGAGTGCCTACGCTGCATCCTCGGTGCCAGGAGCCACAGCATCGCTGGTTCCTTGCTCACCGGTAAGGTCCTTCTGCACATCCCCCCACCCGCAAAGCATCTTCCCAGGGGACTTTTAGGATGCTCAAGCCTGCCGGGAGCTGCCCAAGCTCCATTGTGGAGCTGAGAGCAAGCCCATGGTCAGGCCCTCATGCGAACGGATGCTTCAGGAGCTGGTACAGGGGATCCCGGAGCAAAACTGTTCTCCAAAGCACCATCTTTGCTGGGTGTGGGTAGAGCCACATGCATCTCCCGCTTACAGCAATTACATCTAATTGGATGTGACTTAAAATAAAAAAAAAAGCTCCCTTAGAGAATGTTCCGGGCGAGGGAAGCAGCAGTTGGAACACATTTAGTGCCGTATTAGCCTGATCATAAATATAACGGGCTGGATTGTCTCAGACAAGAAGCATCGGGATAACCGACGGAGCTGCACAAAGACCTCTTCACTTCTTACCTGTTTAGATCTTGGTATAAGTTTTATTCTGTCTGCCACATATTTTTATTTTTAATGTTAGGGTGGGTTTTTTTAAAGCGAGCTCAGTCCCTGATCCCCAGCCACAGCGGGTGATGCTGCTGGTCCTCTGCAGAGGCAGGGGGTGCCTGGGGAAGGATGGGGGTCCCCAGGGAAGGGGGCACATACAGAAACCCGGAGTGCTTGCAAGAAGAGCGGGAGCAATGCCATTGCTTATGCTAAACTTGAATTTAGAAATAATCTACTTGTCTGTAGCATAAACCCTTTACGGGGTTTCTGCACCATTATAAAGCATCGCAGCCATCTGCGTGCTTCTCTGGAAACAACGGTGTTTAGTCACAGCTCCTCAGAGCTGCCTTAAAGACCCAGGATGCAGCATTTAACCTGTGCAAGGTCGTGGTTACATCTTATTACAGTTTCCTCCTTAATAGTGCTCTGATGGGAAAGCATGGGAATTTATTTTCCAACAAATGTCTCTTGTGCTCCTCCAAAATGCCAATGGCCAGAAAAATCAGCAGTTCTGGTTTAGCATAGTGGCTTTTTCCTTGCCTATTTCTTCTTAAAAGGATTTTTCGCTTAATGGGAGAAGGAAAGCTATCTAGTTAAGATCCAAATGTGATCTTTTTAAACATAAGAGAAGTAAATGGATAATAGGGGGTTAATTCAGATATAAATAGAGAGAGAGTAAATCCAGCTAAATTGGCTTTGACTCTATGGGCTCATCCACAAGGATGGGGAGTATTTCCCTTAGCTCTGCACACACTCCCTGCGCCCAGGGAGCCCCGGTCCTCTTATCCCTGTGGGAAATGATTACACTTGGCTGGGCAATAAATCTCGGTGGGCAGCGGGGGATCCCTCCCGTGCCTCTCACAACATTTTGGCCATACCCTTACGGGAAAATGTTCCATAATTCACTCTCCGGGATTTAGACAGTGCATGGCGTGGTGATGCTGTCGCGACCGGTGTTAAAGCTGTGACATGAGTTGAGGTCTCCTAACATTTTCCTTTCCTTGCCCACCTTCCTGCCACTCCGCCCGCGATGCTGCCGGTACCCCAGGGACGTGGCGGACGCAGGGGGTGTTCCCCGAGGAGACGCTGCTGAAGGTGCCCAGCGACATCCCGGTGCTGTGCGCCGCCACCCTGAGCGTCAACCCCTGCACGGCGTACCGCATGCTGGCCGACTTCGAGACCCTGGCGCCGGGTACGCCTTTGCCAGATGGAAAGAAATCCATGTGGATTTGCTGGTCGCTTCTGCAATGAAAATCTGGATTTATTTACATCCAGGTGACTCCGTCATCCAGAATGCTGCCAACAGCGGCGTGGGCCAGGCTGTTATCCAGATCGCCAAAGCCTCCGGCATCAAGACCATCAATGTGGTGAGGGCCAGGTGAGTCCCCTGGGAGGCGAGAAGGTCTTCAGCAGCGCAGGAGCTGCCCTCAGCTGGAGGCTGGCAGGAGGTCGGGCAAGTTTGGGCACAGGATCTGGTTGTCCTTTCCGTGCGACCTGGGATTTCCTCCCGTGGTTCAGCCTGCAACCCATTTGCTCCTCCAAGGTGTCCTCCAGCCTCTGCCCTCTTGTCCCCAAGTTAAGTTGTGTCTGGGCAGGAGGGAGAAGGTGACGCTCTGCTTTCTGTCTCATCGGGTCCTTTTTATGTTTTTTTCCTCCCCCAGGCCTGATCTCCCAAAGCTGGTGGAGAGGCTGATGGCCCTGGGCGCAGACCACGTTGTCACGGAGGAGATGCTGAGAAAGCCGGAGATGAAGGATATATTTAAGGTACCTCAATGGCTGATCCCATGACATGCCCATAGGGTACCCCAATGGCTGTCCCTGCAGTTCAGCGCTGCGAGGAATGGTGCAGGGATGGTGGGCGGGACAAATCTCTCTCTAGATGAGCATTTAGCCCCAGAAGTTGAGGGCTTCTGATGCTACTGCAAGGGCCAGATCATACATTTTAGCTCTATGACTCTTAGCTGCCCCCAGGTAAATATTGAGGTTAAGGCAGTTGCTCCCTCAAGAGCTGCGGTCCCGTCCTCAAAAGGAGCCCTAAAATTTGAGAACCTTCTTAATAAACTCTTGCAGAGCATCCCGAAGCCCCGGCTCGCCCTGAACTGCGTCGGAGGCAAAAGCACTACGGAGATGCTGCGGCATCTGCAGTAAGTTTGGCTTGGGTACGGGCTTGGGGAAAGCAGCCAGAGGGTCCTGCTCCAGAGCCCGCGGATTGCAAGAGGTGGCCAGAGATGGTGTTAGCTTATGTTGGTCATCACTGAAGTTTTGGAGAGGGAAGATAAGCAGAGACGTGGTTTTGGAAAATAACAGTGACTTAAAGTTAATCCATTACCACTGCGTGTCTCAAACACTGCCGGTGGCTGGAGGCAGCTGAGGTCAGGTTATGAAGGTGCACCAGGTCCTGGGCAGGTATAACTGGTGTATTTAGCTGCAAGTTCAGCTAATGGTGCATGGTAGCGAGAGGGGAGCTCTGGAAAGTGGAGTCTGAGGGGTAACTGGGGGAGCCCTTGGTGCAAGAGCGACCCCAGCGGTGCAGTGGTGGGGTTGGGCACGGCAGAGGGAGAGGTTGCAAGGTCAAAGCTGCACGTTGGGGACCACGTAACTGAATACCCCCTTCCTCTTCCAGGCCCAAAGGGACCGTGGTCACCTATGGCGGGATGGCAAAGCAGCCCGTGATGGTGCCTGTGGTGAGTACTGGAGATGCTCTTGACTGGGACATGTGTCTGTGCGCTATTGTGGATGTCCCCGTCCCTTCAGCTCCTGCTTGGTACCACAGAAGCTCCGCTCTCCCCTGCCTGCAGACTGAGAGCCTCCAACCTGCTTTTTATTTAACTGATGGGGTCCGTTATGGGACGAGCTGCTTTGCATCCTGGTGCAGGTGTCTTGGCTTTATTTATGGAGGACTTGGGCTGCTGTGAAATCCCAGCAGGGAAATGGCCCCGCAGATGCCAAGCATCAAACCTGCCCTGACTCCACACCTCGGAGCCACATCTCCACATCCCCTTGTGCCCTGAGGCACAAATGAGAGCGCTAATGAAGGAGCGAGGGGCCTCGCTGCCACCTTCCACCACTGTCACGCTGGGAGGGGACAGGTCTCACCTGGGTGCATGGCTCCCTCTCTCCGCAGAGCGCGTTCATCTTCCGGGACTTGCGGCTCCGCGGCTTCTGGATGACCCAGTGGAAGAAGGACCATGCACATGGTGAGCTGCACACCGGTGTCGTCCTTTCTTCTTACTGGTGTCATGAGTGCTGATAGTCCTCAGGGCAGCTGAAATGCAGGCACTGGGCACCGTGGCTCAGGCAGGGACCGCACGTGCCGCCATGCCAGGGGCTGTTGCCCCATCTCTTTAGGATAAGAGGAAATGGGCTCAAGTTGCACCAGGGCAGGTTTAGGTTGGACATCAGGAAAAATTTCTTGACAGAAAGGGCTGTCAAGCACTGGAAGGGGCTGCCCAGGGAAGGGGTCGAGTCCCCATCCCTGGAGGGATTTAAAAGCTGGGCAGACGAGGTGCTTAGGGACAGGGTTTAGTGGTGGGATGGCAGGGTTAGGGTAACAGTTGGACTGGATGATCTTAAAGGACTGTTCCAACCTAAACGATTCTGTGATTCTATGATCCCACATGCCCGAGCTGGGAGCACATCGCACCCCGGCATCTCCGGGCCCGTGTACAGCTTCAGGCGGTGAGAGCTCCCTCCTTCCTTTGCAGACCAGGAGAGCCTGGCCAGCATGATGGACGCCTTGTACCAGCTCATCCGGAGGGGCCAGCTTACCGCGCCGGTCTGCACCGAGGTCCCGCTCCAGGACTACAAGGCGGCACTGGAGGCATCCATGAAGCCCTTCACATCCTCGAAGCAAATCCTCCTCCTCTGACCCCCCGAGACCTCAGCTCATGGGCGGCAGCGGGCTGAGTCCAGTGCTGCTCCATCACAGCCAAACTTTCCCTTGCTGCCTTGTCCGCTGACAAGAGATACGATGAGGAAAAACTCATCCATTGATTTTTCTTTTTTTTTTTTCTTTTTTTTTTTTTTTTTAACTTTTGGGTGCCCACTTAAAGTTTTAAAAGCCTCTGCAGCTTTGCATGGACAGCAGCGTGCCTAACTGCTTCTGGAGGGAGGCTGCAATATTGCTTTAGCTTGCAATATTGCTTTAGCTGGGGTGAGTTTGGGTGCAAGAGAAAGCTCAGGGAGCCTGGGGACGACGGCTTGCTCAGCTCAGGGTGTCAAAAGAGCAGCAGTTCCCTCTCATGCCTGTTTTTGGGGCTGGGCGGGGGGGCTGTGCTGCTGCCTCCTGCCTGGCTTAGCAGCTGCCAATGTTGCTCTGCTATTTGCACTGTCCCTCCAGGTGATTTTTGGCTGCTTTCGGGTGACTTTGCAGGGTAGCACAGGGCTGGGCGCCGCTCACCTCCCAGCCGGCACGGCCCCGGCCCCGCTGCTGCAGCCTCTGAGCCACCTCCATGTCCCCCCCTCCAAGTTCAGCACCCAGGTGCCCCTGGGCTGGGGGCACTCCCCACACTGAATTGCAGAGAAAAATGGAATTTTAATTATTTTTTTTTTTTTTCCCCTGCCCAGCCCATCCATTGCTGGCAGAGGGGGGCAGGGGACACCCGTGCAGGCTGGAGGACAAGGACAAGAGCACAAAGGACCATTCCAGCCCTTGACATCACTTTATCTCAAAAATGAGCTCAAACAGGAAAAAAAAAAGAGAAACACCAAGTTAGCAAGTACCAGCCAGCGCTGCCGCACCGGCGGGAGCTGTAAGACACCCTAGTCCTTTTGGGGACAGCCCTGGGGTGGTGGCATTCAGGGTGGGGACAGGACTCGCCCAGCAGGTCACAGCCTGACACGGCAGGGCAAGGGGGGCTTTTGCAATACCTGGACTTGAATTCAGTTTTGCTGCTGTTCCCACTGCTACTACTGATCGTGACAAGAACCTCTTGGAAATCAATGTCTAATATATATATATTATTTTTTTAAGAAGCTGCCAATAAATGTTCCTGTGCTCAGTCGGTGTGTGAGGGTGGGTGGGGGTTACGTGGCATCAAGAATGGGCAAACCCAATGCACCGGGCTCCCTTGCTGCCTGGCCCTTTCCCTGTCCTCAATCCCAGGGATTTTCCATCCTGTAAAGCTTTGATTACAACTGCACATAAGCAGTTAGCATCCTGCTAAAAGCAGCTGCAGGATGGATGTGGTTTTGGGCAGACAGGGCTGGCTCTGCCCCATGAGTGCCCACTGGGCACCAAACTCAGCATTTCTTAGCCAAGTCTGCCCCAAAACAGACGCATTTCCCCCCCCAGTTACTGCAATGGGAAGGATGAGGCTCATCCTCAGGGAAACAGGGCAGGAAGACAAGACCCTTGAGTCCCTTCAAAAGCCATTTCAAAGCAACACACTGTTCATTTTAATTTCAATTTTTGGTGTTAATTAACGATCCTCAGCAGTGATGTTCCTCAGCCCCATGGACAACAAAGCCCTGGGGCAAGGGGCTGGTGCCTGGGTCGGGGATGCCTGCCCGGCCTTTTGAGGTCCACTGAAATGGCAGAGAAACTCTGGGTTATTTATTCCCTCCAAATTGGTGGCCAGCTGTGTCCCTCTGCTTGCCCCTGGGCTTGGGGTTGGAAGAGGACGGTTCAGTCCTGAGATGCGAGCATGATGCATGCCTCTACCTCTCCTTCCTCCAGTGGCTCCACCAGTAAAGTCAGAGCCACAACCAATCTCATCCACACTTGCCAGGAGAATGAAAATCCAGAAGAGCCAGAGGAGGAAGGGGCATGGACTCCCCAGGAGCCGTGAGGGATTGGTTTGGTTGGAGTGGCACTGGGTGCTGGTGCAGCTCCTGGCTTAGCCCCAGGCTGGCCTTTGGCTGGGTTTTGCTGAGTGAAGTGCTGGGGCCTGGGGCCCTTTGGCTTGGGTGGGCTGGAGCCCAACCCTTCATGTCCCTGCAGGCAACCCCCCGCCCCGGGTGTCGGGACAGTGACTGTGAGACTGTAGAGACAGGAGGAGGCAACTTGAAAAGATGTATTATGGAGAACAACAAGCAGGGTATCATTACTTATTCCTGTACCAGTGTATTCCTACCTCTCAGACGCGTCCTGGCTACCCAAGCTCTCTGCTATTTTCCAGTCCAGCCCCCGCCAGGGTCCAGCCCCGTCGCCCGCC